TCTGTTCTGGCAGGACCACAGATGATGATAGACCAGAAAGCCAGGGCCATAGAGGTTGAGAGCAGCTGGTCTGGTCAGTGGCAGCTTGCAGGACCAATGACCTGAGAGGTAGAGCGCCCCAGGAAAGACTGCCGCCCAGTGGCATGTCTCTCTCTCTGTCTCTCTCACACCATTACTGTATGGCATATCTCTCTCACACTCACCACTCAACTTAAATAGCAAATCCACACACAACAGGTTTCATAATAAATATTATAGGATAAACTCCATTCTAAAAATCAGAAAATAAAAGGAGCATGTTTCCAATTCTGAATTGATGGATGTAAATTTTGAAAGTAAAGTTACCTGGTTTGTTCCTGCCGCAGTGTGTTGGGATCTGGTATAAAAAATCTTACACGAAAATGCATGGTCCAGGGAGCGCCTCCTACATTTTACATAAGTAAATTAATATTTCCATTTTAGGTTTATTTTTGTAAAATTTATATCAAAAGCTACAACATAAAATAGCCACGTAATATGCTAATGTTGCTATACTTTCTTTTTTGACATACATATAGATACACACATCTGTCTATTATTTCTCCACTTCTACTATTTTCTTAAATCTTTTGCTACTTTCAGAACAACAACAACTTACAAATAGATCCTTCTTTCAAAAACAATCCTGTTCATGAAGCAGTCACCAGTATGGTGTACTCAGTTAGCATCTATTATATTTTTCCATCAGTGCACTTTTTAAAATGGCAATTTGTTTATAAATGGTTCATTCTATTACTTTCAGTATTAAAGGAGGAAAGTCTTTAAAAAGAGCAAAATATACAAGATGCAAATGTTTTATAAGATAAGCAGTAATGTTATACAAGGAAAATTTTAATAATGCTCTATATTTCCTCTCAAAGCAAAGGGTAATAAACTTTAATCTTATTTAAAATCACATGCTAGCTTCAAAATAAGCTAAAGTAAGGAGAGATTGAAATTTGTTTCAACTTCATTAGTGATAATGGCAGACTTAGCATTAGCTATTGCAACACCTATATTGAGGGGAAAACCATATTACCAGAATTTGTTTATAAATGATTCGTGCTAAAAAACAATTATGCCCTGTACTTTTTAAAGACTGAGTTCAAATACTATAGACTAATTTTGCTCTACTCTGAGCACACTGAAATGGTTTAAAATCCGTATTAGAAACTGGCTCGATTACACTCTCTCAACCAACTACTTAACAAGGTTTGTCTCAAAAATCCCTCCCCCTCTACTGCGGACATCAGAGGAGATAGTAATGAACAGAGGTCTGCTTCTATTTTCACTACTGTGTTGTCTAACTTGGCTCAGAGCAAGGCTAATGCTCAGGGTGATAACACAACCTGTCGGTGACTTACAGGACATATTCTACACACAAAAGCAGTTACCACTACCAAAGCTTAAGTAGTACTAAAAATTGTGGGAAGTGTTGCCAAAAAGCCTACTGTACACAAGACCATGGTGGCCAAAAGTAAATTTGAGAAATGTATTTTTCCTAATCAAAGATATATATAGAAGAGGAATGCAGGCCAGAAAAATTAGATTTTAATGTAAAGTATCTTACCTTTAAGCTGTTTTCTAATAGGTTTGCTTGATTCAAGCCATCGCTGTGAAATGAAAAATTAGATGGATTTTTAAAAATAAATAAATATATGTAAATAAAATATTAAAAATTAGCACTATACTTACAGGGGAACCTAAGGACTCTTCACTTTGCTGTAAGCCAAAATATTCCTTCTCTGTCACACCCAGGTGGTTACAGGCCATATCCAACAAAACCTGACCAGTATCTTGTTTCTGAAAGAAAAGAACACTCCATAAATGAAATGCACACTATTTAGTTTAATAAAATAATTTAATGGAAAAAATAGGTTATAAAGTGTAGTCTATAAACAAAATAGTTCTAAGTTTCTCAGAACAAAGGTCATTATACAGAGTACATCAAAGTGAACAATCTCTCAAAGGAAAATTCCGCTATTATTTTGAATATTTCTCCTTGAAAAATATGGATTGATACAAGTTAAAGTTAAAAGTTGTTAAGCTTAAAATTATAATTACCAGTTATAAAATGTGCTGGCTCATCAAGATAGAAATGGTCAGCCTGGGACAAACCAATAGTTCATTTAGCCCAATATCCTGCCTTCCAACAACAGCCAATGTCACATGTGTCGGGAGGTAGAACAGAAGAGGTAATCAGCAAAAATACATCCCATGTTGTCATTCCTAGCTTCTTCAGAGGCTAAGGACACCTAGCGAATAGGGTTGCACTCATGACCATGTTATCTAAGGCTGTGTCTAGACTGAAAATCAAGCACTTTGAAAGTGCAAATGAGCCCGGGGTTTAAACATCCTGGGCTTCATTTGCATACTCACGTTCGGGCACTGTGCCTACCACGCGCCCTTTTTAAAGTGAAAGTAAAGTCTAGCTGCAGCTCTGTTGACAGCAGGGAGCTTTTTCGGCAGATCCTGTACCCCCAGCTCACTCCTGCAGCCTCCTTTGCTCCTGCCTCCAGAGACTCACTCCTCACCTCTCCGGCATCCAAATTCCTCCAGCCCCCATCTGGCTGCAGGGTCCTGTCCCCAACCCTAATCCTAGGGCAGGCCCCGCAGTCTGGTCCCCATCTGGCTGCAAGAAGGGCTGATGGCAGCCCACCTCCAACTGCAGCATGGGTAGGAAGGGAGGCCATGATCCGGCTGCAGTGATACTGGCCCAGCCTCTCATTCAGTCACTGCTGGCCAGGTGCAGCAGCCCAACTCTGGCCAGGTAAGGCAATCCAGCCCCAACGTCCCTCCCCAATACATACTCTATTTCCCATCCCCACCCTGCCTCCTGCACTCCCAACCCCCTGCCTTGAGCCCCTCATACATTCCAAATCTTACTCCTGCATCCCCATATCCACTATCTCCATCCCCAGGAGCAGAAGTCCCATTGAATAAAGTCTGAGTGCAATGTTTTATTTATGCTATTATTAATCATGTGAATTATCAATAATATCAAGTTGTATATTTTCAGTCATGCAAATAGGCGTTCTTATGCAGCTCTCTGTTGACCACTTGTTCTGAATTTTGATTTAGTTTGACTCTTTGGTTTGAAAAGGTTGCCAACCCCTGGGTTAGAGGCCCTCTCCATCCGTCTCCTCATTCTCCAGGGTTAGATAATCCTTACCCTGGAGCCACTGAGCTCAACAAAAAGGGAAGCCAGGCATCCACCATTCAGGTCTCCCCAGCCTGAATTCCATAATCCTAATCCCCAGCACACACCCCACAACCCATACCTGTGACAAGAGATTTCTGCTTTAATTGCCTGAAATGCCTTACTACACTCTAATTGAAAATCTGCAAAAAAAAAAAATGCAGATCAGGTTGTAAAATGTTTAATTTAACATAAAATGAGTGGTGATGGTGTAAGGACCCATTGACATGCTTAAAACCGAACACTATTCTAAAGATAAGGCATTAGTTTAATACAAAACACAATAGTTTAAAAATAAAGAATACAGTAATGATAGCCATAAGGGCTATATAATAGAATGGTGTTGCCACTACATCTTATATAGGTTTGGTGAGTGAAATAAGCTATACTGGCAAAAACATTTTATGCTAGTGCAACTGTGTCTATACTAGAGCTCTAACCAACATAAATTCTCTCCCTAATTCTCCCAGTCCTCCCAAAAATAAATCATGCCTTAACTGATATTGTTATGCTGACCAACTTTGTAGTGTAGACCAGCCTTAACCACTTCATACTTTGAGCTCCTCTGATGAAATGTTTTATTTAGTGTCAAGTACTTTATAATATTAAGTATTTTTATCCTCATTTTACATGGCAGGAAACAGAAGCAACAAGATGACTGAGTAGAGCTCGAAGTAGAATTCAGCTCTCCTGACCCCCAATACCTTAGTGAAATGATTAGGCGATAAGGCATCCAACAGGCAGAGAATAAAGTTATGTACACTGTACATGAAACAATGTATTTGTCATCCCAGAAACCTTTCTGAAAACTCACATTTTAAAAGACTTAATATAGGAGAAATCGATGCTAGGAGATTTAAAAGTTTCTCTACAGAGATAAAGGTCTTTCAAAATACCTACTTATTCCACCACTGAAATACAGGCACCTCATCATCTCTCCCCCCTCCCACACCACACTTCAGATTATTATCAAGAAATTAATATCTTGCTGTGGATGTTCCTTTCAGTATAACCACCTTATAATATAAGCGTTCACAATAGTCAGCTGCATTAAAAGAGATCCATTCTGAATTTAACCTTAACTGATAACAGCTTGACAGATTAAATATAGGATTGCCACAGCTCAAACATTTCCACCACCTACCTACATTCCCCTTTTGACACTTAATTACTTTTCAGATTTATGAGGAGTAATAGTAGAGCTGACACTCAAAATTCTCTAGCTTATCAGAGGGCACAGTGATATTGTCTTTGACTTTGATTACAAGTTCTCTAAATATAGTCTTTAATGTTTATATTCACTAGTAAAGCCTAAAGAGGATGGGGCCACATTGTTCTAGGTGCCATATAGATATACAGAAAAGATTGTCCCTGACCCCAAAGAACCTATGATATGGAATTATTAGGGGGCAGTGTCCCCTGTTCGCCAATCCCCCTCCCTCCAATCCATCAAGGCTGCGCCAGCCCCAGTTCTCCCCTTCATCTTCTCCTCCTCTGGGCTGCCGAGACTGCGCCAGCCCCAGCTTTCCCACCCCCCCCAGCTACTACAACACGGCAGCCCTGGCTCTCCATGTGGACCCTAGGGAGGGCCAGGATGGGAGTGGGCGGGGCTTGGCTCCTTTGGATGCAGATGATATGATGACATCATTCTGTCGTCCCGCAGGAAAATTTTTATTATACACTGTGATGGGCCGCCAGCGACCCGCACGGGAGATGGCCTGGGCCGCGGAAAGCGGCAGCACAGCCCAAGCCCCTCCCACCGGCCCCGGCTCAGCGGCTGTGCCGGCGGGGAACCGCTGGTCCCTCCCCAGAGATGGTGCTGGGCGGGGGCTGGGCAAAGCCAAGCAGCCAGGCGGCTCCATAAGAACGCCGGCACGCCACCAGAAGGGGAGGAGCCCCGGGCGGCATCTGGCGCGGCGGGCCAGTTTAAAAAGGCTCGCCGCCAGCGAGGAAGGGGGCAGTCTCCTCGCAGACAGGGAGGAGAGCCCCCGGCCGCAGAACGGACCCCGAGTGGCATCGAGGCCGGCAGTTGGCCCGGCCTTGGCCCAGGGGTTACCAGGACAGCCACCGCAGCCGGCGGTCGACCAGTCCCAGCTCCGATGGAGATTGGACCCCACTCCGCCGGCCCTGGAAAGAACAGCCCGGCAGAGAGCGGACCCGGCGGAAGGAACGGACTCACGAGGCATCGCCGGAGCAACTCCGGACCCGGACTCCTGAACCAGGGTAGGCTTCGGGAACCGGGGCGACGACCCAAAGGGACCCGGGAAGGGAGGAAGGAGCCCAGGGCGGGGCCCTTTTGGCGTCCGTGGGTAGACGGGTTATGGCAGGAATGACCCCCCATCTACCGCGTCAGGCCGTGAGGAAGCCCCGATGCTTAGGGCCCCGGGCTGGGACCCGGAGAGAGGATGGGACCGGGTCCCCCTCCCTCACTCCCAAGGAGCATCCCCAGTGAGGTAATGAGCTTTGTGACTTTGTTCTCACTTGCAATCATTTCAGATTTGAGGATGATTTATACCTTCAAGTCAGCAGCACTGCTATGGGTATCCATATGATCCCACACAATGTGTCAACATTTTTTATGGCTGATTTAGAACAACACTTCCCCAAGTGCCCCTCCTCTGCTTGTGCTACATTGATGACATCTTCATATGGACCCATGAGAAGGAGAACCTTGAAGAATTCCACAGGGATTCAACAATTTATATATACACACACCTGCCTGCGCGTGCGCGCACACACACACACACACACACACACACACACACACCCCCCCCTCACCAACAAATTAAATGCAACAAATTAAATGTGATAGTTCAACAGCACGCTACAATATTCTTCACCTTCCTTTTCCTCCCCCCCGATGACAACCCAACCCTGACCTCATTTTCTACCAGTCACAGTTCTATAATGGAATTTTCTACACTTTCAAAATTTGATCCTAACTTCAGAAAAATAACACTGTTTGGCCCCTGTAATCCTGTCATATGTTGTTCAAGGGCCACCCACCTTCATTTATACCTCTTTCACAGTCCTTTGCCCACAACTAGCCCAATTCATGGTTATGTTTGACCTCCGGAAGAGGCATGTTAATTTCCAACTTCAGAATAGGGAAATCCGCGAGGGATATTTAAATAAACATGGCCGCCGCTTTTTTTCCGGCATGGGGAAAAGCCGGAAAAGAGCGTCCAGACTGGCGCGATCCTCCGGAATAAAGCCCTATTCCGGAGGATCTCTTATTCCTACTTGCAAGGAATTCCTACTTCCTTGCAAGTAGGAATAAGAGATCCTCCGGAATAGGGCTTTATTCCGGAGGATCGCGCCAGTCTGGACGCTCTTTTCCGGCTTTTCCCCATGCCGGAAAAAAGCGGCGGCCATGTTTATTTATATCCAGCGGGGGATATTTAAATCCCCCGCGCATTTCCCTATTCTGACTTCTCTCATTTCCATAGCTATTACGGGTTATGTGGCCAGTGTAGACACAGCCCGTGTGATTGTGAACAAGTCATTAAACATATGCCTCAGTTCCTCACCAGGGTTTGCATCATGCAGTGTAACTGCCTTCCTACCACAGATACCTGATTCCCATACGGTGCACAGAGAACTC